TGCTTTTTATACTTGAAGCCACCAAATTGTTTTAGATATTAGCTCTAAAGTCTTGTTATATTTCAAATATTCTACTATTGGAAAGTTATAACAAGCTTGAAGAACACATAATCATGCTTCATTTAGTAAAATATGTAATTATTTTTTGAAATAAAATAGATTATTTTTAAACTTAAACTTAAAAGTATCATAAGACTTTAAAAAATTATTCTTAGTATCATAAATAAGATTATTAGAGGATGTATTCAAGTAAATTTGTTTAAAAAGAATTGAATCAATAGTCAATATCAATTTCATTGTTTGAAGATGAAAATATTTTAGCTTCAAAAGAATCATTCTTTGTTGATCAAAAGTTGCATCTCTTTCTTTAGATGCAAGATAAGAACATCTAAAAAGGATATCTTACAAATCTTATTATTTTTTGGATTAATAAATAATCTTGAAATCTAATCTTAATAAAGACATGCTCAAATAAGCTTGGCAATGATTCAAAACATGTGTTGAAATGAAATACTTGAGATTCTTATGATCTACATATACAATGATTAGGTTAGAAGTACCTTCTAGATAATGATGTCATTTTTGAAATGAATCCATGATTACAAGAAGTTCTTTATCATGGATTTTGTAGTTGATCTTCATTGCTAAAAAAAAATTAGAATAGAAAGCTATCAAGTAGAACTTGTGATTTTCTTTTATTTGTAATAACATTGCATCTATAGTAAATTTTAATTTGTTTGTTTTCATAAAAAATACCTTAAAAAAATTGACACAATATAAGATTGGTACAAAAATAAATATTGACTTCAAGGCTTTAAAACATATTCTAGTTTCTTTATTCCACTCAAGTTTATTTTTATAAATCAAACATATAAGAAGAACTATAATTTAAAAAAGAATTTGATGAAGATGTAGTAATAATTGATAATTTTTTAAAAAAATTACACATATCTGATTATTTTTGATATCTTCCAATTTATAATGGTCTAAAACTTCTTAGCATCTATCATAAAATTATTGTTTAAAATGATGTATCATAACAAATCAATTTAAGTAGTGTAAAATATAAATTTATCCATCTAAAAGTATAATCCTAAGTCTCTTAGTTTTTGGAATACACAACAAGTATGAAGTTCATACTCTTTTATGTTCTTAGAGTAAAATAATATGTTCTCTAGATAATAGACAATAAAGTCATCAAGAAACTCATAAAAGATATTATTCATTAGATATTAAAAAAAACTAGTTTATTTGTAAATCCAAAAAATATGACATTATATTTAAAATACCCTTATTTAGTTTGAAATGTAATTTTTCATTCATATCTTTTTTTTGATGCATACCATGTTATATGTTTCTTGTAGATTTATTTTAATATAGATCTTTGCTTGATTGAGTTAATCAAAAAGCCTTGAAATCAATGATATATGATATCTATTCTTAATGGTGATCTTCTTGAGTCCTTGATAGTCCACACACATACATAGAGATTTGTTTTTTTTTTTCTTTACGAATAAGATGAAAGCTTTGGCTAGAAATTTAGAATGGCATGTGAAATTCTTAGCCAAATTCTTATCAATATATTTCTTGAATGCAGTGAGTTTGTTTTGTGATAAGCTATAGATTGGTTCAAATGGTAGTTGAGCTCCCTCTTGAAGATCAATAGAATAATCATAGGAACAATGCTGTAAAATCATATTTGCATTCTTCTTCTCAAAAATATTTTAATAATCTTAGTATTGGTTTAGAATGCTACTTAAAATCTTTTTTCCATCAAAAATAGGTGTGGCTCATATAACAAAAGTTGATCATTCTTTTGCAACATGCATAAAAGCTCTTGCACCTATCAATAAAAATTTGATTATATTAGATATATGGATTTTTACTTAATTATTTGAATTTTAGGCCAAACTATAAAAAAATCAAAGTCACAAGAAATTTAGTCTATTTAAATATTATATTTTTTTAGTCACAATAATCCTAAAATAACTATGTTAAAAGAAGATTTAATAATAATAAATATTATTAAGCTATTATGACCATTAATTGCTATTCTTAAAAGGATAATTTTATAGATGACATTTTTAAAAGATAATAAACAACTATCTATTACTTCTACATGTACAAGTTTGATTTTCTTGACTAAGAATATTTCTTGTTTTTTTAACAAAGTCTTTGTCCATAAAACAAGTTGAGGCTCTTAAATCTAAATAAGTAAAGACTTTGTGATATTTTGGTCTTAAATAAAATTCTATCATAAAACAAAGTGAGGGATCTGGCAAGAGATTAAGACCTTGACTAAGTGTTGCACAAGATTCTGGTCCAACTATATTACTATTGTAGCTAAAAAAATTATTTTCTAATATATTATATTTTTTAGAAACCATGCTTTTTATTTTGTAGTAATGTTGCTTTTGAACTTCATTATTAACTTCTTCCATAGATGTTGAGATATTACTTCTATGGTTGATATTAAAAATATGTGAGATTTCAATCTTAAGAGTGTTAACAAACTTGTGAAGATCTGAAATAGTTACAAATCTATTCTTTCTTCTACCAAGAGTAGCATCGATATATATATATATATATATATATATATTTTTCATAAACAAATCAAATAAATCTAAAATTCAAATTAGATAAAGGTAATTTGTGACTTGTAATATTAAATGAAAATTCCTACAAAGAGAGATAGTCTATTTTTTTAAGAAAATAAATCAATATTAAAAAATAAAATTGTTAGTTTAAGAGTAGATAGTTTGTAACCTTCAAAATATAATAATAGAAGTGAAATAATTTATTTACTTTTAAAAAAAATAAAAATAATGAATTAATATTTTTGTAAAATTATCAAAGACATAAATCTCAAAGAACTAAAAGATTAAAATATTCTTGTGTCATTCAAAAAGACTAAAAAATTACTCAAAAGATTATATGTTATTCAATTAGAATGGCTATTGCTAAAGATAAGAAGATTAGAAAGGTATTGACAATAGTGAAGAAGGCTTCATTCTTGCCTCCATATATTCTATCTAATTAAGAGCTATATGGTAATATTTTATAGGACCTCTAACATGTGTCTTAACTCGTAAGGCAAGTTTTTATATTTATTCCATATAGTTAGCTTGTATTATAAGGTACCAACACATGCAACACGTGGCTAATTTGTTAACCAAGTTTCTAATCTATCAATCAACTTGAAACTCATATAAAGTCAAATTCCTATTTATAAAGCTTCTAATAAACTTCTCTGTAAGATATTTTCAAATTAAATACTTTAATCTACTTCTATCATCCATATTATTTAGGTAATTATCAAAATAAACATATATGTATGTGACAATACTTTGCAAGTTTGAAATATAGTGGAGGTCATATGGAACTTTGCAACTTAGTTATTAGTTAGATAATATATATAGATGGAAGAGTAAAAGTCTTCTTTTTTCTTGTCAACACATTTCTAGTCCTTAGTCTAGTTTTAAGACTTTCTAATCTTTTTATATTTTATAGAATTCATTCCAATTTCAATATTTTATTAATTTTGAATAAATATCTATATTTTTTGAGTGACAAAAGAATATATTAAGTTTTATTTGTCTTTGATTCATGTATTGAAACATAAATTAGAAAGATAAAAATAAAAATTCATTTGAAAATTTAAAATAATTCAAAATATAAATAATATTATTTTAAATTTTAATAAATTGATAAATTAATAAATTTTTAAATGGCATAAATAAATATTACTAGATTTTTATATTAAAATATTTTTATCAATTTATAAAGAACCTTAAGTAACTTTCAGAACTTATCTGATATAAATATGTTTCTTCAATATGATATTTTTTACTAAAAGCTTAAAATTCAATTTTTTGTAGTATTTACAATTGGCATGTAATATTACCACTATGATATTTATATAAATGTACAAAAATATCTTGATTTTTTAAAACTTATTTTATACATATATATATATATATATATATATGTACATATTTCTGAAATAGAAATTACTGCAATTTATGCTTGTCTATACAACAACATAGCTTACTTTCAATGATTGTAAAATCACATCAACAAAGAGTTCCTTACAATTTATTCAAAATCAAATTTAGTACTAATTCAAAACACATACACACATGCATAAACAAAATTAAAAAAATTAAAAAAATATTAATTTAAATTTCTAATTTATCATATATTTATTTATTTATGTTTTAAGAACATTATATTTATAATCTCCAACATGAAGTATACAAGCAATATTATAACTCAATTCCAATAAAATTAGAAAATTATTAATATTATGTCTCCAATTAATATTATTATATCCCACGTGACCTCTACTCAACTTAAAATGACTAAAAAGCATGCTTCTATGCTTAGGGCGCATTTTGCAGTCTAATATTTTATCTTAATATTGATCCTAAATATATATATATATATATATATATATATATCTATAATTTTTGGCAACCAAATTAGAATAAGATTAAATAAATACACAGTTTTAAATTAAAAATTTTAGAAGAAATTATTTTATTTAAAAAAAAAACACTTCACAACCTATTTTTTCATAAAATATTCAATGTCTCTCTCTTGACCACCACTTTTTTTTTTTAAAGAGAAGAAAGGAAAAAAATGTGCAAAAGAAAGAGGCATATTATTAGGTAGTTGTTTATGAGGAGGTCACATGGAATGCCGCTATGTCAATTGCAGGTGTAATGTTAGCAATTCTCTCAATTTATATGATAAAAAACCACCTCACTAATTTGATGTCAATGTAAGAAAAACCACAATTGAGTAAGACGAGATTTACATGGTCAAGCTGAGGAAAAGCGGTTCTCACTTGTGTCACTAACGCAACCGCCACATCAGCAGGATGACCGGCGCAGGCGGTAAGGTAGCGGGCACAAGCAGCGAGCCAACTGCGAGGCGGGGAAGGGCGCGCGACGAGCAGAGGCGATAGGCCTTCGCTGCTCGCCGCAGCCCCAGCACCAGATTTTCTGGATAAGATTGTGGCTCGCACAAGCCTCGCTGGGTGGATCCTCGCTCTGCTTCATCACCCCAACCCACCTGCCAATTCATGCAGCAACCCATCGATTCTTCTTCTTCCCCACCTCGTCTTCATTTGTTGAAGTGGGTTTGCAGTGAGTGAGTGACGCAGAGTTTCCGCACAATGGCGTCCTTCACCATGGCAGCCGCCATCGCCCCTGCTGGCCTCGTCGCCCCTCTCGACCTCAGCTCCCGCACCGCCATCTCTGGCTCCCGTGCTTCCGCGTTCGTTAAGAACTCCAAGGCCAGGACGACCTGCTCTGCATCATCCGTCGACGAAACCACCACTGTCGCGCAAGCCGCGGGGAAGTTCGCTACCGCGTTGGCGCTGGCTGCTCTCGTTGGCGGGAGTGATATGGTTGTGCCTGAGGCCAAGGCCGATGTTGCTGGTCTGACCCCTTGCAAGGAGAGCAAGGGCTTCGCCAAGAGGGAGAAGCAGGAGATTAAGAAGCTTGAGAGCAGGCTGAAGCTGTACGCGCCCGACAGCGCACCCGCGTTGGCTTTGAACGCGACCATTGAGAAGACGAAGAGGAGGTTTGCGTTTTACGGCAACGAGGGATTGTTGTGCGGTACTGATGGGCTCCCTCATTTGATTGTGGACGGTGACCAGGCTCATTTGGGCGAGTTTGTGTACCCCGGGTTGGTGTTCTTGTACATTGCCGGATGGATTGGATGGGTGGGCAGGGCCTACTTGATTGACGTGAGGACTTCCAAGAAGCCCACCGAGAAGGAAATTATCATCGACGTGCCTCTCGCACTCAGGATCATGTCGAAGGGTCTCACGTGGCCCGTGGCTGCCATCGGCGAGCTGAGGAGCGGCAAGTTGGTGGAGAAGAGCGCCAACATCACCGTTTCGCCTAGATAAACTAGTGCGTGAACTCCTGTATCTGCTTAATGTGTAATAAACACGGTTTGTAGCTTACTTCCACTATGTTCGCCCGTCTGTGTCTACTGTGTTCACGCATGTGAGATTGAGTAATATGATTGATTCCTCTCTGAAGGAGCTGTTTGAGTGACCTCAATCCCTTGTTGCGCTCTCTTCTCGCTCTATTCTATACAATCTCTTAGGTGTATATACTGATTATCAATATCCTTGAGGTAGGGGCTTCATAATTGCGACATTAGAGCGTGTGGAATTGTGGGTGGTTATTCTTATCTCTTTCGATTGGTCTCCGCTACTCTAACTAAATACATGGTCGTCTTCACTGATTTCGTTTGGGTTGGCTAGAAAATGTTGTATTATCACGTCGCTTTAGAGTGCCGTGTAGAGCTACAGGTTTCTAAATAGGTTGTGGTACATAATGTGCCTGAATTGGGTGAGATTTGCGCAGATATGAGTTCAGAATTGTGTGAGATTGTGGAGCGTTAGCTGTCTGCATGTAAGAGACAAATCGACAACGTGCAGCGCCATCTAACATGACGCTTTACATCTTTGTGTTGCATGAGATGTGTCTTCTGATTCTAGTTAAAGAAATGCTGATTTCCTCACCTGGTTGGCGATTTCAGTGTTCTCTTTATGAGACATATGAGATATATTGGAATCGTTTTTGGACTAACTGCCTCGGCATGGAAGTAATGCTCCTTCTTACGATTGTATCTGAAAATTGTAGGGCTTACGCGATACTCTGGATCACATCTGTTGACGTAATCCCAAGTGATTTTTCATGAAATAATTCCCTGTTTGCTGTACTCGAATTTGATCACGAACTGCTCGAAAGGAGTCATGCTCTGGAGTTCATTTGTATTGTAGTGAGGGCCTTTCCTGAACACATTTGTCACAATTGGTTGTGAAGAGTGCCATTGCTCCTGTGTGTTGCACCATCTGTTTGGTTTCGCTTCCGTTCAGTTAGGGCAAACGTGGGTTCATCAAACCTCAGGTTTTACTAATAGAATGGGTCCATCGAGCACAGACTCGGCGTTTGTTTATTGGAAAATATCTAGGAACTTTTGGATAATCATAGTTAATTTTCATTCGTGAGAATGACCTTGAGAACTTCGATGTGTATCAAGACTCTAGTCTTGGATTGACTGTCAGTGAAAGCTAAGGACAGTTGCTTGTTTCTTTGAAATAATGTGTATTTGTATTTGTTTTAGTTTTGCTGTAGTTCAGATTTTGTCTTTTGCATAAATCATGTGGAATTGGAAGGTTTTTCTGAAAATATAATATGTTTAAAATGACTATTTAACATCTTAAATTGGTTGTGTCAAGTAGAAAAACTGAATCAATAAACAAAAATGTGTTTTCACTAAGGAAAGTAAATATGAATTAAATATCAACATTTCACCTATACACACCACACAGATGAGAAAACCCTAAAAAAGTATTAATTTTAGGTAGAATGTAGTTTGGGAGAATAGAGGCATTTGGAGATCTAAAATAATATAAAAAATTGCGAAAACAAATAAAAAAAATCTATAAAATATGTGGGTGAAGTTTTGAATGAAAAGTTTCATTCTGAAATCTTTTTGTAATTTTTATTTCTATACAGACTGCTTCACAATGCAATACTAGATATCAGTATGCTTGATACACCTATGTATGGGATGATTGGAAGTTAATAGAACTTCTAATTTATTAAATTATTTTTGTAAATTAAGAAATTGAATAATTACTTGATTAGATAGTTATGCCACATCTTAAGAAACAAAAAGTTTTTCTTTGAATTCTTGAAAATAGTTTCATCTTTTTCTTTATAATGTAGAGTATAATAATAGACTATTTGAAAAAACTCTTTTTGTATATATTGATACCACAACTCTACCTACTTAAAGACGAGATTATTCATTGAGTAAATTAGAATTGGATAATTTTTCTAATATATGTTTTTAAACTTAAAAATCGTTAAAATTTAATTTAAACTACAAAAACATTACTAGATATGAACTCAAATTCTATATATTTGAGTAAAAAAAATTAAAAAATATATATCTGTATATCTATATATATCTATATATATAAACTATAAAAACCAAAAACTTTGCTACTAAATAAATAGATTATATTTTCATAAATAAAAACAAAAAGAAATTATTTAGCATATATAATGTCATATCTATTGCTATTTTTGTATACAATAGAAAAATTAAGGATTTTTTTATGAGATTTGTTTTTTTGTTTTTTTTTTTTTGGTATTAAGTCACTTAGATGCAATGTAATACGATTAATTTCTAATAGGTATTCTTTTGCTTTAAATTATCAATGTTAGATTTAAGTATTATTTTTAGACATTAATTTTTGGCTCTTATTCAAAACAAATATTTATATGTTAATTTATTTCTTAAAAAAATGAAATAATTATTTATATATTTTGTTTCATTAAATCTATGAATGTTTTTCTTTAAAATAATTACAAACTTAGAATTCTTGATTTTAATATACATACCATTAAAATAAAAATTTAATTATAATGTAGAATCTAATTAATTCACCAAATATAAGCATATAAGTAATTCTAAATACTTCTAATTAATGTTTTGCAAGAAATCATTCATGTATTTTTATTTTGACATATTTTATTTTTTTAAAGTCAAATAATACACAAAATAATTTTAAAATTTTGTTGAGGTGCTTACTTGAGATTTATAAGTAACAAAAGTACTAATCAATTTTTTGGATCTTTAAGCATTTATTTAAAATAAATATATATATATATATATATATATATATATATATATATATATATTTAAAACTTCACCAAAACTATTTTTATTCTTAAAACTATATAATAATGAATTAATATTATACAAAGCAATATAGAATAATTTTATATAATTTTTAGTATATGCTTTAATGTGTACATTACATTAAGAAGGGTTAAAGTAGAACATTGCATTAGAATATTGAAAGAATGATCAAAAATATTTTAAAATTTTAAAATCCAAAAATTATTACAGATATCTAACAAGATTTTAGAAATATTCTTAGAATATTCTATTAAGTTCTAAAAGGCTCAAAAATATTCTTCAAATATTTTAATATAAGGTTTTTATATTTGAATATTTAAATATAAGATTTTAAAAAGATTCCTAAAAACTGTTATTGTTTAGAACCACTTTCTCAAGCTTCTATATCTAAGGAGGCAGTGGCACCTGTACATTAATAAAAAAAATTCACCAATTCAATAATGTAAGGAGTCTTGGATTAGTCTTCCAAAAAAGTTTAATGGCACATACTCAAAGTTCTAAGGATTTGTTAACCAAATTCGATTGGTAACTTTTCTACAACCTAAGTACTATCCAACAAAAGAGTCATGAGTTGGTTTAGTTGGAACCTTGCTCACAAAACAAGCCTTATCTTTATTTGCTCCTTTATTTGAGAAGAGACCTCTAATCTTAAGCAAATTTAAAGCTTTTTTAGAAGCATTTATAGAGGCATTTGGAAAATTTGACAAGGCTTAATAGACAACAACAAAGATTCACTTATTACGTCAAGGATCACACTCTATATCAGTTTATGCATATGATTTTAGATAATTTGTTTATGATATCAATTGAAATAAATAAGATCTTAAGAGCCAATTCTATTGAGGACTAAGGTATGATATGAAAGACCTATTATTATTATTATTATTATTATTATTATTATTATTATCTAATCTTTAAATACTCAATGAAGCTATTAGTCAAGCTATGAAGTACAAAAATTGATTATTTTAATGCCATCAAGATCAACACTTGCGATATTTGACAAAGCAACACACTAAAAATTTATACTTTGCTGCTTCAACAAATACATTACTTCTATACTTTGGAGTTAAGGATATGCAAATTACTTCTATACTTTGGAGTTAAGGATATGCAATACCATTCAAACTTCTTACAACAAAAGAAAAGAAGCATTGATTTGAACAAGGCCTATGCTTATATTTTGATGAAGAAGATTAGAAATTTAGAAAATATTTGAAGAAACAACATACAACCAGGAGTAGGAGTACAATCATTTTGAAAAATAAAGAGGCCTAGCTACAATAAGTATTGTGCAATTGGACATTTTGACATCTCAAATTCATTAAAATTCTTCTCTCTTTGCCCAATCTACTTGATGTTCTAGTATTCTTTTATTTCTTAGTCTATAAAAATGTCAAACAAATGCCTTATTAAATTCAAGAGCATCTGCTTATTTTTTAGATAAGTTCTCCAAACTTCATAAAATTCTTCTAGTATAGAAGTTAAAACTTATACATATAAAAGTAATAGATGGTCAATTTTTATCTTAAAGCAGTGTTACTCATGAAACCATACAATTAGAAATATCATTTGTGGCCTATAGTAGCAAAATAATATTCAATATTATTAAAATATCATCCAATCTTATTATTTTAGGATTTTTATGGTTAAAAAGATATAATCCATTTATAAATGAGAGGTTTCATAAGGTTGAATTTCCTATAGAATTCCTTTGGACAAAACCTATCAAAAAGTCATCAATAACAAAGCTTTTATTTCTTGAAGCAAGGACTTTTATGAAGATAACTAAGAAGAAAATGTCATTTGTTATTTATGTAACTTCAACTTGCAAAGAAGCAAGCTTTCTAGTAGCTATCTCAAAGTAATATAAAGAATTTAAGATGTCTTTGAAAAGAAGAATGCTGACATATTGTCGAAGCATTGACCATATGATTATGCAATTGATCTTTAAGAAGGGACTCAAATACTATTTGTAGAGCATTGTCGTGCATTGGTTTGGCTACTATGTAAAAATAATGTTTATAAATATTTAATGTAAAATTTATTATACAATGTGGTAAGAGCCACATTATTAGATTTTAGTTAGTCACAAAATATAATTAAATTATTACTTTGAAATGGTTAGTTTAAAAGGGTTATTATTAAAATTGATTTTATATTGATAATAGTTTTATATATTTAAAGTTACCTTTTCTAGACATTGGTGATCCTTAAAGTTTTATTTTGTTTATTTTATTTGATGTTTAGAGCATATATTACATAAATCTTATTAGTAAAAGGGTTGGAAAGGAATCTTGGTAGCAAAAAGAGAAGTTAAGATATTCATATGGATGAATGGAGATGGATGATGAAAATATCCATTCCGATTGGCCAGAAATCATGCTTAATGGGCTTCAAGGAGGTAGCTCGAGGCCTTATTAGAGATTAGGATTATTCTTTGATGCCATTCTAACTTTGGAGGCTAAAGTCAAAAAGTTTCGGTTTTTGGCTATGGTTTTGGCACAAATTTGTGTGATTTGGAATTTATATGAAATAGATATGAATACTCAAAGTTAAGGTGATGATTTTGTACCTATTATCTTTCTTTTGAACATAACGTATGCATATAGAAAGCAATAAGAGATTGGTGACTAGAGTTGAAGAGAGAACTTTCTTGGCTATTTTTTTTGTATACTTCTTTATGCATTCCAAATTGGAATGAAGGAGATATTGAAAGTTAAAATCAGCACTTTAAATCTAAGGGTAGTAAGTGATCTAATTCACTAGTGGTTGTGTTTTGAGCTCTATCTTGATCAATTTGACAAGTTTTTAGCTCAAAATTTCCAAAAAATATGTATAATCATGTTTTTAAACTTTATGCATAAATTTTGTATCATTTGAATTTTGGGTTTTCAAGATATAAAGAAAATAATATTTAGGTGTTTGTAGATTAGGATTTAGAATACCTGGTAGGATTTCTAAGATGCCAAAAGATTGACAATGAATTTATAGTTTATTTTTTTATGGTAAAGCTTAAGATTGAGTGCTACACTATTTAAAACTTTTTAAGAAATTGAATAGTTGGATCAAGAGATATGAATTTCTAAAGTTTGGAAAGAAGAAATCCTTTGCAGGAAAAATATGTTTGGAAAGGTTTTGCTACAATTTGGGTATTTTATATAAAGTGAAGAGGTTTTAGGAGCCAAGACTTTGTATATAAGTTAAAGGTGGAATAAATATTTTATTAGAGCTTAGCTAATAAGTTAAAATTAAACTTTCTATAGATAGATACTCAATGTATTTTCAAATTATAAATCATGCTTTATAA